GTAAACTGGTTAACTCGTCTTTGCGAATGTTGGGTGTTGCCTCTCGCTTAACCAGGGAGTTCAAAAACCCGACGGCTTTTATCACGCTATACTGCTCGCTATCCAGGTCACAGTTAGAATATGCCTCAGTTGTTTGGAATGGAATTTCTAAAAGTCACTCCTTGGAGATCGAACGTGTGCAAAAAAAGTTTGTTTCTATCTTTAAACATCGCTACATAAAGGAGGATGTTCACTGTTTAACATATGAGTCTGCGTTAGAGCGTGTTGGTTTGCTTAGCTTGCACCGGCGTCGGGAGAACGCGGACTTACTATTTTTGTTTAAAACGCTGCATGGACTCATCAATTCTCCGAGCCTGTTATCTGAACTGTGCCTTAGGGTCCCACGTGTGCCTACTCGTCTTCTGTCATCTTTTTATGTTTCTAGAATGTTTAGTCCGGTAAACCCAATTGTGAGAATGGCTCAGCGTTTGAATCATTACTCTGAAAAACTTGATATTTTCAACCCTTGCTACAGGACGTTTGTCCTTTCTATTAAAAACTTGCCCGTGCAGGATGAGCATTGCTGAATTGCTTTGTTATGTCTGAATGTCGTCATCTCCATGTCGTGTTTTCTGGTGGTGCAGTTGTTGTCCTTCAGTCTTGTGTTCCGTCTCTACTGTTACTGCCTCGTTTTTATTTCATTGTACTAATCACTCGTGCACTGCCTAGTATTATGCTAAAAATGTATCTTATTTTCTGCGGAGATGTGTATAGTGTGTTTTTTTGTTTTTTTTATCCACCAGTGTACCAGCACCAAGACCTCAGGGTTGTTCCTGGGCACTGTATAATAAAGATTGATTGATTGATTGATTGATTGATTATTATATTACTATTTTTTTTTAGTGTGCCAGCACTAAGACCGATTGGTTGTTCCTGGACACTTTAATAAACATTGATTGATTGATTGATTGATTGATTGATTACTATTATTAATATTATATGCGCTTACAATGACAAAAGTATTTTGCGATTATGTTTATAGTTTTGAAATAGTCATTTCCACACACGTTTCGTCATTCCGATAAACACACACCTTTGTCATCCACAGACATATTTAATTCGGTAGCATTTGTATCTTTGTCTTACCTACAAAATAAGAAAGGGGCTAAATTAGCCCTTTGGGAATCATCATCTTGTATTTCAAATTTGCAAGATGGCTAAATATTAAAAAAAAACGCGTGCATAACTATCGGAAGCATGCGGTGTACGTATAGTTTTGGCACTACTTCTGTTTACCGTAGGTTTCAATGTTGTTGTTGTTTTTTTAGTTAAACCTGTCAATGTACAATATCACCCATTTGTTTAGATTTAAAAAAAGGTAACAAAAACAGTTTTTTATCAATTCTTTTTTATATCAGTAGGGCTCGTTTTCTGTACTTTAATTTGTAAAATTCATAGTCAGCTCGCATATATTGGAATACCTTAGAAATTGGCTTTTCATTAATGGTGTATTCAAAATGTATCCCAATACCGGGGAACTGAAGCTTCTTCATGATTATAAATAACAGGCTCTCCATCCATTTTGTAAAGAATATAAATGAAAACATTTCAACAGAAGTATGCCTGGACATGGTCTATGAAAACCAGGCCCAAATGTGACTTTGAAACGCATGTAGATATATGTAACACACCTCTTTTAGTATCCATTAGTTTACTTTTTCGCGACATGGTGTATTAAACAAGCCTCCTGATCACAAGCCAACCCAAGCAATGAGTAGGGTAGAGTTCGGAACAATTGATATTTAATAGTAAAGAAGTGTCGGAGGTTTTAAAGCAGTGTTGTGCCCGTTACCGAAAATAAGTAACGAAATAGCGTTACTCGTTACCTTGGAAAAAAGCTAACGCGTTACAGAGCTCGGTTACTATTTTGCCAAAGAAACGAAATACCTGTGTCGTTGTTTGCCATGACTAACGGACGTTGCTTTTACGTTAGTTTGTCGTTACTTTGTGTTTCACTGTTAGTATAAGACTGCCGTTTATAATAAACCGCCTCTCTAAACTTCGGCAACAATACATTTGTTCAAAGTAATTATTTATTTATTTCTACTCTGCGGCGCCGAAGCATCATCATCATTTATTCATCATCATTTGTTAAACCTTGAAGGCCTTTACGGGCATTACACAAGGTATGGGTACCTCCTGAAAAAAAAAACATTATAGAAAGGAACAAACAAAAAGGGGGTTACATGCTGGAGAACATTGTTATGTAAAGCAACATTACAGCAGAGGAGTAGGGTACACATCACATTTATACGTTGGAAACTTACACAAACAGCCCCACAGTGGCAGGGATTCTAAAAGATGGCGACGTCTAGTGACGGTCGGCATTCAATGCTGCGATAACCTTGCAACTTGTTAGCTACGCCAGCTTGTTTGTCTGACTTCGGCAGGATGTTGAATGTACAGGGTGTCACAAAAGAAAATTTACACGGTCTTTTTCTCCGCAAAAATAAACTAGGCATCGCCGAACGCTCATTCTCCGCCCAAAGGTAGCGCTAAAGGTCACAACCAGATGCCAAAGTTTCAGCCCAATTCGATAACTTAATCAAAAGTTATAAGTGATTTTCTGAAAATTTCAATGGGAAAATGGAGCCCATTTTTGTCCGTTTTCGGTTTCCGGTGCCATAGAGCCCTATGTGTTTGAAAACTCCGTCGGCCGCCATTTTCCCATTGAAATTTTCAGAAAATCACTAATAACTTTTGATTAAGTTATCGGATCGGGCTGAAACTTTGGCATCTGGTTGTGACCTCTAGCGCTGCCTTTGGGCGGAGAATGAGCGTTCGGCGATGCCTAGCTTATTTTTGAGGTAAAAAAGACCGTGTAAATTTTCTTTTGTGACACCCTGTATATCCTCGAACACATGACGCTTCGAGAGCGCGATTCGCACAACTGTAATATAAGTTCTGAACATGTTTAACTAGCCAAGCCTGTTTGTCTGGCGTGGGCAGGATATGTAATCTACATCCTCGGGCACGTGACGCTTCACGAGCGCGATTCGGAGAATTGAACCTTGCCCATCTCACCTAACTGGAAAGAAGAAACCGCTCTGGAAAAGAACGACCGTATGCTTACCACGTAACGGACGCAATATAGACATATTCATGTAATCAAAGTTAATGCTGTAAAATAAACGTTATTTTATTCCTTCAAAAACCAACGTCACATTTCCAATGAACGACACGTCAGCACCCGGCTATGCTGACACACCTGATTTGGTTCAAAGCGTGGGAAGGTCAACGCTTCCAAATTTAGTTTATCCTTACTGTTGTTGACAGAACGAGAATTTATTTGTTTTGAAGAGAAGGATGTGACCAGCTGGAGTAACTAGGGACGCGAGGCAAAATCCGTCGAGCAACGGCAGAGTGTTGTCTTCAAAGCGATTGTCTCTTTCCAGCAGGACGGCTGCTCAGGGTACGGCGACGGTGATCTTAGCAGCTTCTATACAAAGACTGTACCAAGGACGCTTAGGAGTTTTGCGTAGCAATAATCTCGCGGCTTTGGGCCCGATAGTGGGAACGTTAAAAGTGTCTTCCGTGGGAGTCTGAAATGACTCCGCTTATACATAGCTTTCTTTGCTGGGGGTTCTTTGTCACTTTTAAGTGGTGCACATAATGAAAATTATTTTGTTTTCAAACGAGAACAATCACGCGCCCATTTGTAATCAAAAGTTACGGGTAACGTAATTTAAGAGGAGACACCGTAAAATAATAACGACGTTACTTTACTCATTAGACATTTGGGATTCTAACGAGTACGTTAGTACGTTAGCCAAAAACTAACGCGTTACCAGTAACGCCGTTACTTGTAACGCGTTAGTTCCAGTACTGTTTTAAAGTAAGCTATTCTGTGTGTTTACCCATTTGCTGTCTTACCCAATAAAGCACCTCAATTTCTCACTGCGTCATTTTTAACTCCCTTGAAATAACACGTTTCTGTTTGTTCATATCAGACATAGGAGTCTACCTTAAACATCGAATTTAGGTAACCTCTTATTCTTCCGCTGTTTCACAAAGGCGCACCACGTAGCCACAAGTATATGGTGCAGCCGAAATGTCTTGTCCATGTAAACATACTTCGAGCTACTTATTTCCAGCAAGTTCAAATTATTTCGCCCGCAACTTATATGTAAACTCTGAACTGCAGTACAAAACAAAATATATCAAAGTGTTATATCGCGCACTTGGCTCCTCCATGTGATACATCGCCACGAACGTCACTTTCAAGTGTCTCACCGTATATTTGCAACATTCCTGGGGGCCCGTACCCCGCGATCGTCTGCTCTGGGCTATACTTTGAATGGAGCGGTGGATTACAGGGCTGGGATCATGCAAACATCGTTCAAAATTCACGTTGTTCTCGAAGAACATTTCATTAGAATTAAGCAATGTTGAAAAGTAACATGCATTAGTCTTTCTACTGTATCGTGTAATGTAGTGTCGATAGAGATGAAATCGCGCGAGTTCGATTCTCGTTAAAAGAAAAAGAAACCTAGAACTACTTTTGTCGCGGACGGCGCTGTTCCTGTGGTGGTAACGATGCCTCCATGACCTCGACCATGAAGCCTTAATATGGACTTTTAAACAATAAATACTAGAGAGGACCTTGGCGCTAATTGTCATATATACCTTGTTTACTCTTTCTGATTCCAACGACACTTTCTTTACTTTCTTTAAAATAGAAACCCACAAAAAAAAAAGGTTCAACGTTCTCTGGGTTTACCGCAAACAATCCGGCAAGGACAAATGCTAAAAGAATTGTCCACGACATACCTTGAGGTGAAAAATACATTATTTGTCTCCACGTGTTACCCATCATTTTCTGAAAACAATGCGCATGTGCGGAATCGCCTTGCGTCAATAATATAAAATACAATAAGAAGAAAAATGCATATGCTCGTGGAGCCCTATATATAAATCCGTACCAAAATATGTAATAGCATAGACGACATCTAGCGTCCAAGATGAAGGCAACCCTCGCAGCCATTTGCTTCATCGCTGGTGCTGTGTACTCCATGGGGAGGCTGACTGGTAAGTCCATGTATCTCACGATGTTACACTTTGTTTTTTTTATGAGATTAAGTGTATTTCTATAATCAGAGTTTACCTCAGATTTCTTTAACTATAACAAAATTAGCTCCTTATTTTTTGTAATATGACGTTCTCAAAAAGAGAAGAATGAATTCAGCACAATTGTACAAAAATAAAAAGCACCAATGTACTGTCCCACTGCAATTAAAAATATTTTATAGTCTACATAAATACACCAAATAATCTTTACTATGACCTAGGGCTAGCTCTGACTGATGTGTTTATACGTGAAATATTACAATTTAAATTGAGTTCGCTTTTATCAGCTCCATTTTTGCACAAACATTAAAGAACACTAATAAAAAGTTAAAGAAAATAATAGTTTGTGTTTTTTTTTTGCAAAGTTTGCTTCAGGTTAAAATCAAAGGCTTGTCATGACCTCTGGTAGAGAATTCCATTTTTTTATACTCACCTATTAGGTTTTAGGTTAGCAGGTTACTGTATTTGTATTTGCTTCGGTCGCATTATAGTCATAACGTTTTGTATTTGCGGTTATAAATTCTGATTCATTTGTAACTACTCCACAGCCAGTAAGCAAAGAGACTATACTTCACAAACCACTCGTCAACCTCGCCATCTGTTATTACTAATGACGTGGTTCCGCTAAGTCAACGTTCTACCACGACTGCTTAAACAAATTAGAAAAAGAAAAAAAAAAAAAAAAAAGCTCGGATATGGTTAAGCCTTAGTGTCAACGACCGGAAGATAAAAAAACGAATTGTAACAAGCACTACCGCTGGGCTGTCTCTGGCTTTTCGGCACATTACGATTGCCGTGACGTTTGCGAACACAACAAACAACAAAGTAGGTTCAATGATTGCTAGGTGAGTCTCAGGCAGAACGCTTCAAGACATTTGTGAACTTCTTCGCCCTTTTTTGTCTGGTAACGAACTCAGTGACGCCATCTATTGGGCAGCCCTGGTACACTTCCGGTTCTCGTATTACTTCTAATTGCCTCCTCATCATTTCCTTATCACAAGAGTGAATTAAGTACGACAGGGTTATAAGTGGCCATTTTGAGTAGATAGCGCGTATACATAATTTCGCAAATACGGTAAAAACCTAACGTCTACTTCAGAACCGGAAGTGGTTGGGGACTGTTTGCACACTGCCGCTACTACGTTTAAACTCACGCGAAAAAGAGCGAATAGGTATCAGTTAATGTCATCTTTTCTTAAAAGGTGTTTTTTCATTATGCTCAAGAAGTATTATTTGACACCATTTTTAATTTCTGCATATATTTCATATCTAATTTATTTTATTGTCAGTTCATAATAACATGACGTAGTGTCATCGACATTCCCTTTTTGTATGGGTTGATGACATCCTCTTCAACATCCGCAAGGTCGAGATGCCTGAGCCTCAAATTTTACTTCTCTTTGTTCGCTGGTTTGCAATTTTCAATTACGAGGTTGTCTTTTTTTTTTTAATTACTTTATATAAAAATGAACATTGAAATATCATGCATGTTTCTCGTGTTTGTGTTGTTTTTCTTCTTCGTTTTTGTTTTTTTTTCTTTTTGACAGGTTCGTTTATAATATTGTACACTTGGAACTATATGTAGTTCCCAGGATGATGGTAGATAATTAAGACACGAATTTCTTATATGTTTTTGAAACCCTTCTGCAGAGGAACAATGCAGACACCCTGTGCCATCACCTTCATGCGCCGAAGACGCGAAACCTAGAACTATCTACTACTTTAACAACCATACTAATAGATGCGAGAGTATGGAGAGCTGTGCGGAAGGTATAAACCACTTTGAAAAGCAGAAGTGCTGTGTGAGTGAATGCCCGTACGGTAAGTTTTACGCCTTTTCTTATATTCTTACTATTTTCATTTTAACACGGGCCACGTTTAAGCTAACGATACAACTCTGCAGAAAATACTAGTACGTAACAACCAGAGACGCTTAGTTTTATTGCAATCCTAACGCGAGCCTCTTCAAAATATTTGTGAAGCCATGATTATATCTGAATAAATTATCCTCTAAATTTAATTTATTTACATCTTGAAGTTTTCTTATTATTATTCTAGCATCATCAAATTGATACATTTTATAATGAATTTTAGCACGAAATTATATTTAAAAAACGGCAATTAAAATATTGTCACGAAGTTTTTTTTGTTGTTTTTTGTGATTGAGTTTGCGACATACTAAATACGACCTTCTAATAGGGATGACTAAATATTAGAGTTTCGAATTTGAATAAAAAAATAATGATCCGAATATTCCTATTTTGCTTATCGATTCCGAGTATTTGATTATTCGAATAATTTGATTAATCGAATAGTGGTACTAATGGCACAAATTGTGGGTTTATCCAGGACGCTGCTCACACGATGAAATATATCCTCGCTACGAATCAAACCTGCATTCAAAAACTTTGACTAATACACCATTAAAAAAAAAAAAAAAAAGAAACGTAGTTTGTTTTTTTGCGTTTCTCGAACGAGTCAGTCATACACCCAGCATCTTAGATGCGTTCGACGAAAACTCGAAAACCGCTCACAGGGCCTTTTAAATTTAAGAATCTTGCGATACCTGGAGTCAGATCTGTGCACCATCAGCTATTCCGGGTTGTTACGTCTACACCATCCGCCACCCTCCTCAGCTAAGTCGTCGCCGGTTACTACAGCGTCCAGCTAAGTGCCATGGCTGTGGATGACGCAAGCCGTCACCCAATTCTAACAGATCGGCCATATACGTTCATTTATCTGACACGCTGTGCATTCACACGTGAATAGGTGGATGCTTTCGTCAGCTATTTGGTTCAAGCCTAGTCGTTTAAGCGTGGTCATGACGTACGTTTTTATTCGCGCTGGCTTCTCTTCGTTCTCTAGAATAAACACGATGCGTTTCGTCTCATCTACTCGGCTTTTCTGCTGTTTAGCGAATATCGCGAATAAACGTTTTGGTATTTGTATTCGATTCGACATTCGAGCTTTGGACCATTATTCGGCACTTTTCGACAGGAATTTGATTAGTGCTTAAATTTCTATATTCGCACACACTTTTTATAATTGCGGTCATCATTGTTAAAGCATAATTCTCAAACTAAAGTAGATATCAGTCGAAATTGTATACCTACAAAAATCTTGACCTTATTAAATGTTGTTTCACACCTGACGCTGAATTCGTTGTTTGGCCTACTTTTGTCGACAGAAAAAAATATTCATTAAAATAATTACGGAAGATTTATGTTAACATACTTCTTTAATGATTTCAAAAAGTGGCATATTGACAAGCTGCCTCAAGTTGAACTATCATCAGAACATTAATTGGGAGGTCCGAATTGTCTACCTCAGCAATATGTACGTCGTCTTCTGTTTCACGGATAGCGTCTTTATTCCAAATACGCATATTACGAACCACATACGAGCAAGGTAAATGAGGTTTAATACTGATTTAAATGTGTGTTTTTGCACCCACGGGTATTAACGCTGCCAGTTCATGACCGTGCATAACGAACCCAACAATTCGTAACTTGATGTTTATACCGAGCGATGACAGACTCCTTTCGAGATTTATTGTATTGGTCACTACAGTGATACTGAACACCGGAGACCTCTGACTAACATACCAAAGAAGTATATGAAGGAAAGACACCATAGTCAAAGATTTATTCATTTTGTTTATTTTCTTTGCTTACGAACAGCTTTACGCCTTGGTGCTGCGCTAGACATCAGATGACTAATTCTTCGGTCAACACTGCACAGCCATGGCATGTTAAAATTATTAATCCAACAAAATGTCATAACAGGTTTGGATCATAGCTTCATAAAACCCCTGCTTTTAACTCTTATACACCCTTATCCCGCAATATGTTAGAGTAGCACTAAATCTTTGCGAATGTATTCATTATTTTAACGACGGGCACATTCAATGATTGAAGCATATCAATCAAGTCCTACAAGATATAAGGTTAAATATAACCGATCTATATATTTTAACCTTTTCACTGGTGCTATATTCGGTTGTCTATTTTCGTTCTAGACGCACCACAGTAATCACCTTCAATTTATGTCACTCTTATTTAATTTCTACAATTGTGGGTCGCAAATTACATAATAAAACAGCTAAAGAAAAGTAAAGCCAACAAGGAGTTTATCTAATGTACGGAGCCAATGAATTAACCGTGCCTACTGCTTTAATGCCAGCAACGTGTATCAAATAAAAAAAAACTGGCTTGTAGAAAAAAAGCATCTGTTACCCTACGTTGAAAGCAAATGTGGTATTGTCGTTTCTGCTCATTCGAAGTAATATCTATATTCAAACATATTCGTTATTTAAATATAAGCCAACTGGTTCATTGACATCAAATAAGAAAATGGTGACGAGCAACCTCATCAATATTTCTCAATATTTATCTTATTTTCTCTATCTAAAGTTTGAAATATTATTTCTTTTGATATAACCAACCTGGTTTTGTATTGATTGAGACATATTGGGTGTCTGTATGTGTGCCTGTGTTGTTCCCGCAGGAAAACATTCCAAAAAGTCCGGAGAAACGCTCGGTAAGTTATGTTAAACAAACGATGTCTAAAAGTTAAGCACAAGCTTATCTGTAACATTGGCCGTCATGCCTGCTATTCGCGACGAAACATCAGTCAATGCAGCAAATTCTGACACCATATTTAGGCAGGTTGATGTTAATACGCTTCCTGGTCCGTGTGTTTTGGTCACCACTGTGACACTAGAAAACTGGGATTCTAATCCAAATATTCCGAAGCAGTGAGGGGCCACAAAACAGTAACAAGACTTACGAGATCCAGAAACGTTGTTTAGGAATTAAGCGTCTAATTAGGAGATCAACATTGTAACTCAATCTGAAACATTTTGAGATATACTATGAAAATCCCGCCTGCCAATGCCCAATATTCAAGAATATGCTGTGTGTTTCACAAACGACTAAAGTATTTCTTTAGGCGCGGCAGACGTTAAGCTTGAAGTGTATAGTTAAAATTAGCAAATCAAATACCTAAACATTAATTACCAACTTTTGGAATATTCTCCTCAGCTAGTGTATTCAAATAAGAGATGTGTTGCCCGTCGGTAAGATATGCCACAACTAAATTTTGTTCAGCGCTATTCTCTGGCATGTTTATGCCGTGCGGAGACGCGATACTGAAACTAGACGCTACAAGAAAGCGGCGCAGGTTCAACCCGGATGTAACATCAGCTACCGCAGTTGTCCCATCTAGTTAGTCAAGGCGAGCCAATGAGGATCACGTGGCCGTAGAAAAAGTGAGCCATACTCTGCTGTTTTCTCAGGCAGTAACTTTTGGACGCCTTCTGCCACTTAGTTTGGGTATGACGGACTCTAGAGAACCTACGCTCTTTAGAAAACAGTCAGGCGCCTGTATATGTCTATTTGAATTCAACAACCTTTATGAAAAAAATTCTCGACTGGTCTCCAACTTAAGTTACAATGTGCCAGCTCATGCGTTCAAGGGTAATTAGTATATTTTAGGTAAATATTTCCCCTTATCACTTCACACGTTCTACCTGACGTCCACTGAGGAAGATGGCATAATCCAGAAGGGAGAATTTCAATACATTAGGTACCTGTGTTTTAAGTATTCTTAGCCATTGGTGGCATACCCTGGATATGAGCCTTTTGTTGTCTGTAAACTCGAACGAGGAAGTAAGTTTAAAGCAGACGTCCGTAGCTACTGTTCATTTCACTGTTTTATCTTCGAAATGCAACACTTAGTCTAGTAGTAAATCTTTAAAGAGAAACGTCGCATATATAATGCTGTATTTAAACACCGATATAGATAATTTGTTCAAATATATCTGTAAGTAAGGTTAATAGTTTGTAGGATATTATGAGTGTTTGATATTGCTGTTTCCGCTGATTAATAGTTTGCTTTGGGCGCATTCGAATGGACACGTTTCTTTAATCTACAGCTTTCACACGTTTGAATATCTTTGGGCGCATAATAATATTAGATCACCAATAAAACGTGCGCCACCCCAAAGCCGGTGTACAATTACTGTACTTGAGTACACGTGTGCTAGGAAATGGAACATTCCAAGTGCTTCGGAATATGTCGGAAGTTTTCATCGGGTAACAAACATCTGACTAACTGCCAATTATGTAGAACATAATTCAAACAGAAAATCCTAAGCCTTACTAATATGCGCTATGTTTTAACGCCAATATCTTAGTCTTCTCAAATATATCAATAAAATGCAAAAAACACTCGCGGTTAGTGCTAACCACAACAGAAACTACTATTCTTTTTCAGAACTCTTACATTTACTAATTTATCATTGGCATATAGCACCTCTGTGATGGGCGAATCTTACTCTTTAATTTGTGTAAATTCGGTGTGCACACTGAACGGTAAAACGCTTACAGAAAGAGCACGAGCCCAGGCTGAGTGTCTAACTCGTCTAATGAAGTATACGGATTTAAGGGGATTGAATTAACATCTAGATAACCATGCCCTGGTGCATTATATTCTACATCGCTTACCGGAGACAGGCGCAAGGTACAAATTGCACAGAAGCTACCGGCGTCATTGTTCGGCCATTTTGAAATGGTCAATAGGTTCAATAGGTCAGAGCACAATTCTCAGCCGAAGGCACGTATCTTTATTCGAGTATACTATACCCTCGGCCTTTTCGTCTAGCAACTGTTGATAGATTCGATTTCATGTTGGAGCATGTCGCAAATTTATGTCTAATATCTACTTCCAGCCGGAAAGTGCTAAGCTCTCGATTGCTGCCTCTGGAGACGAGGCTCTGCGGACACAACTACAAGGCACTTAGAAGTCTAGAAATAAAACTGTGCATTCTAAATTGTGTGTCTTTTTCTTTTCATGGTGCTCTATAATGACCTTATGTAAGAGAAAACTCTAAGATACATTTTTTTATGTTGCTATTACCATCGTTCTGTTCAAACAGTATGAATGTCACTAACATTGAAATGCTTGCATGTCAGCCCTTGCAGGTGTTTGTCTTTCATATTCATGAAAGACAAACACCTCCTAGTTAATCGGAGAAGTCAACCAAACATTATAACGGTTCGGTTGTGGACACATCTACCGCGTTTAAATTTGAATTTTTTTTTTTTTGTGATTTCGATTTTCAAACATTGTTTGCCGGTTCAGCGTTTCCCAGAAAACTATTGAATATGTTTCACTTCTTAGAAAAAAAGCTCAGCGTTATAGTTTGAGAGCAGGAATGTAAGTTTTAAGGCGAAAACAAACAACAAAGCTTTCGTTTGTGAGAAACAAATTTAACATAAAGGGGAAAACGTGTCAAGCAGTCAGGATACTCATGGAGTGCGCTACTGCGACGAAGAAACAAACGCCCACAGGGGTCGCCTGCTTTTATACGTCAGACGTCGACTTTGTTGCTTCACGCTTTTAGGAGGAGTGTACAAGCGCTTTAACAATTTACATCTGTAAGATAACAAACTTTGCCCCTGAGAATTGCACAAGCGTCCTCACCATTTCAGCACGCTAAGTTTGAGAAATATTTTTATATAAATATGCCCTATAGGGTGCTTTTTGTGTGGAACATTTTTTTATTATTAAAAGATGGGGTGTGCTTCAGTTTAAGTGGATATAGTTTCAGCGACCGCATCGAGTGATTATTGTCTGTACGACTTTTTTTTTATTAAAAAGAATCACCCCAAACTTCAAGGTGTTATGTTTTATGCGAAATATTACATACAAAAGAAGAAAAAAAAAACACGTATCAGTTGAAGCGTTGCATAAAACGCACCGACGAAATATTTTGAGAGAAAAAAATGCGGCTTATACATCGGAATAAACGTTACTCGGCTATTGATCGTCGGTCTATTATTACCTCAATGATTTGATTTGGAATCGGAATCGTGTTGCTTGGTATAAAGAACAAAATTCGTCGTAGCTGTCGCAAGCAGACAGCGTTCGGAACAGAAATGTCAAAAATGCTTTCCGCTGGAAACATTGTATCGAACACTGGCTAAGGACCACATTCAACGTCTACTGACGCTACAAGAAACTATCCTATCATCATACCTCGTCTGCCTTCATGTAAAATAGTTTTCAACTCCGTCTCGTTACACGACGATCTCGGTGCCGGTACGGACCACGTCTCCCACTTGCGAGACGCTTTGAGGGAAGTCGACGGTTTTTCTAAAAAAAATGTCGGAGGCTTCGGTCAATACCGAATAAGTCACGAGTGGATGGCCACCTTTGCTACAGCCCTTGCCACGAAAAACCTTGTCTGTAAAGGCGAGCTTCCGGTGAAACAGCAAAAGTGTCTTCTTGACAATGTCGGCACAAAGGACATCAAGACGACACCTTCAATCGGGAGGTGGTCTTTACACTCCACGGCCACGTTCCGGTTAGTCTAGAGCCACACCTACTAAATAAGTTTGGGAGCCATAGCATAGAGTCGAATCCAGGAGCCAGAGCATACAAAGATGGAAATGTTATGGCGTCTATTTTTCGTTTTTTTTAAATATATATTTCGAATAGTTGTTTCTTGACTCATTATGCGCTCCACGTGATTTCCTCTGTGCAGCATTTGAACAATTTACAAAAATCAAGTGTCTTCCGTTTCGAAAGGAATCATTCAAAATAAGCCTGTTTCGAAGCTCGAAACTTACGGATTGTTAAGTTTTAACATAACGGTTAATGCGTGTCAAGACGTGGTTACAAATTGGTTAAAAGGGGACCGCCTTGGTCCGCTAACAGAACTGACTCTCCCGGCTAGCGCACCGCCTTTTAACATTATGGCCGCGGCTGGACCAACGCCACCAAGCTCCCACCATAGCCGCGGTGGCGCTACTAGTCAGAATATAACATTACTTACCCCTTAGCAAAAATCATCACCCCGTCAACACAGGTCACAATGCTGAGGTGAATAACGTGACACGGGTCTTCTCTCCCGGGTTGGCCGTAGGAGCACTGGTGTAGAGGGCCTGGTCACCACCTTTTGCGGAGCTTCCTGGGTCCGCGGGCTGATCACATGCTCGAGTAGAGAACCGGACACGTGCGGCTCGTGCGATGCAGCAACAACTCCCCCTTCTCCAAACACTGCAACTTTGATGAGATTTTGTCAGACATGCTATGGGACCGTCTGGTTTGCGGTGTCCGGGGCAAAAAGTTGAAGCCTCGTCCCCTTAGCAGATTCTAAAGTATTTTCTAAAGCACCCGCTCTAACCTACCGCCGTCAGCCTAACTTACGATCCCTTCTAGTATGCAGCAACCAGTCCGCAACCCCCTCATCTTTACATTCCATCTCTCCACACCCAAACTCGGCCAACTAATCATGGACGCGACTTCCCACCTCGCACATTCTAAAGTAATTTCTAAAGCACCTGCCTAACTTACCGTCCTCAGCCGGACTTCCGATCCCTTCTAGCATGCAGCAACCAGTCCGCAACCCCCTTTTCTTGACGTACCATCCCTCCATACCCAGGCTCGGCAAACTAATCATGGACGTGACTTCTTACATCGTAGACTTTAAAGTTATTTATAAAGCACCTGCCCTAACTTACCGTTGACAGCCCAACTTATGATCCCT